AGACGTTTGGTAAACAGTCCCAGTCAAGGAGTTGGAATTGCAGGCACCGTGATCGCATAAATCACATAAAAGATGACTGACGTGGTGCAGATGCAATAAAATTAATAGAAAGTGCATTTTGTGCATTAAATTCTCACTATATGCCTGGGCCTCAAAATGCATTTTACTGTACCAAAAATATTGCATTTAAAGTTAAATGTAATTAAGAGGCATATGTAAATTATGTAGGAATTCTTTTTTATTTAAATTGAATAACTTGTCATGTATTGCCTTACAGTATTTTTATTTTTTTGCCATCAAAGGTAGAGTTAATCTAAAACAAACCCCCTTCCACCAGCCCTTTCAGACAATGAGAACCAAGCAGGACTTTTCAGTTCTGGCGTTTGCAGTAAGAGCATATATAGAAAAAAAAAAAAAAGGGGAGGTGGGCGATGTGTTGAACCCTGTACATTTACGGCCACATGCTCCCTGGAAGCTGGGTGTTCTGTGCAGGGGCCAGTGTGTGGCAAGGTAAGATTTTTATACTTTGCAGCTGCCCGCTCTACATAACACCCCACTTTTTAATTATAATTTACACACCCAGTTCAGTGGGTACATTTTTATGCTGGTCGGAGTGTGGCTTTAAGATACACCAAACACGCACATTTGGTATGCAACACATTAGGACCTTTTTGCTGTTGACTGTGTATAGCTTGTGCCCCATTTTGGTTAATAAACCTCCAACTGAGCAGTAGGCACCACCGACCTTTTTATTTACTTGGAATTAGTACGACTTATTCATATACTTGGTGTTAATAAACTGCATGCATATTATGACCACCCCCACTATTTACTATGGCACACTATATATCCAAGAGTACCCCAGGTCATTTAGAAATCCCACCCCACCATTGTGATACTGGCTGTGAGGTGTACATCCATTTTCTGTGTTGAATCTGTGATAACAAAAAGCAGGTGCAACTCATTTTCAAAAAAGTTTCAGTGAAAAAGAAAGCCCTTCCAGGTAAGTGTTCCAAGAAAATTATTTAAAAAAAAAAAAATCATTGATGAGCATTAAAAATGCATTCCCGGTCCTTTGATTGGATACTGCTACAGTATGTTTAACATTAAAATAAATCTGAGCTATGAATAGAAGCAATTCGAGCAACGGAAGTGATGGAAAGTATTTCTACTTGGTTACACACAGCAAAATAACTCTTGATTTGGCTACAGACAAGCTTTAATTCCATCTGGCTGCTATAATTTATTATTCTATTTTCTCTATTCTTGCAAAGCCCTTCTTCTTGAAGCACACCGAACTCTCTATATAAACCTCAAAAGTTGTAAAGCAAGATTGACACCTTTATAAAACAATTATGGAATGCCCTCTACAAACAGATGCAACAAATATACTCCAAAGAAGAGCATCAAATGAAAAAAGTTGCCAGCTGAATATTTTGCCACCTCTCAGCAGGTATATTTGTGGGGAAAATCTTGTTGTGGTTAACAACCCACATTAGCTCACATGCACTGAATAGTGGTAAGGATAGACTACTATGGACTAAAAAAACAAAAAACACCTTACATTAATAATACTCTGGTGGTTCATTGAGTTCAAAAATGTGTCAGATTCTATTTAAGCTGCTATTTAAACTCAAGTACTTTCTCAAATATGCAGTTTACTTTATATTGAACAATTAGAAAAGTAAAAAGTTGGCCTCTATAAAAGTTCCTAAATAGAGATGAATAAACTATGCATATGTCATAATCTTTAAAGCTCATCTGTGCAAAGAACTGTGTTGGAAAAGAGCAAATGCAAGACAGTGTGATTGTTAGATTGTTTTGACTGCAAATCTAGGACCGTTTCAAAGTAATCCCAAGTGCTGGCTACTAGTACCGACAGTACTTAAAATCACACTAAACTCAGAAATTAAATCTCAAAAATGCATTCAATTACCTTTACTATTAACAAAAATGTCTCTTATTTGTGTATCACTCAGCTGTAGAATATCAAATCATCTCAGGATTAGTGGCGACGCTGTTCTTCCTTCTGGAGGGTGGTCACTTTTGTTACCCATGGTTCCTGTGTGTGTTGTAAAGGAGCCACCGCTCCAAGCTCACTCCCATGTTTAGTTCGCCACTTTGTATTGAGATTGAAGTCCATCACAGGAGTTTGGAGCGGTGGCTACTTTATCACACACACAGGGACAATGGGGAACAAAAATAGTCGCCCTCCAGAAGGAAGGACTGTGTCAGCACCAATTCAGAGATGATTTGATGATCTAAAGCTGAGCGATACATAAATAAGATAAGGTTTTGTTAAATTTTAAAAATACATTCAAGTACCACAAATATCAACTCCTGAGTTTAGGGTCACTTTAATTTCAGAACATTATCTTGAGAAGCACATGTACCAAATAAACTTAAAATTACAAATCTTACCTTTTTTAACTTGGGTAGTTTTGGAAGATTTGAAACTGACATCAACATAACATTTATAAGGCTTAGAAACTCAAGATTGACAAACTCTCCTGTTAGTCCCTCGATTTTGCCTTCTTTTGCCCTGCAGTTGTCCAAAACTAGTTCCCGTACCTGTGTAGAAACAATGACACACCTTTAATAGGCAGAAATGTAATTCAGAAATCTTAAAGTCAAACACTGAACAAGATATGATAGGAAAAAGATTCGAAAAATCAAAACAAGTATTTTTCACTGAAAATATGTCTGACAAAATAAGGTCAGTTCTGTTCTATACTTTATTCTTTTCTACAGGGGAAGCATACTACAAAAAACAAACAAAAAAACTGTGCAGAGTAAACAATTTAAAAATATGAGCTGTAGTCATAAATAGTCACATGCAAAGAATAAACCATAGAAGTAATTAAGAAAATGAATAAGGAAAAATATTTGCAGTTGCAAGCACTAAAAATATGAACTTCATTTTAGTAGGCTGGTTTACAGAGAAATGTCATAACTGATACACATGAGTTAATAATAACGTATCGTGGTACTGCTACCATGCCTGCAGTGACTGTTTAACCATGTAATTGGTTCTCTTATTTTGTCTAATATAGGATTAAACCTAAAATTTGAACTCCGGCAAGATACCCAAAACACCATTTAGAGAGATTACGTCCTTCTTTGGGGCTTGTGCATACAAGCCTGCAATAGAAGTGCTGTTACTGGCAGGATCTCAAAGCAAGAAACTTTGCAACAGATTCACAAAAACCAAACAATTGCTTAAAGTGACCGTTACAAGTAAGTTTCACATGCAAGGCAGCCTGTAAAAGTGGAGACAATATACCTAGGCTCTTATGCTCCCCGGCAGCAGCAGCAGGAGGCTCATATGCCCTGCAGTGGCCACAGAGCAGTGGCTTTTCAACACATGCTGTGGAAAATCCAAGTATACTAGGAGGAATGAAGGACACTTTTATATTGGTATCATCCCTTTAAAAACAACCTGCGCCCACTTCATAAAAGCCTTGCTGGTTTTGGCTGCAGTTCTAACATGCGTGACAGATACAGGTAGTTCTTATTATAGACACTTTAAAAACCTGTCTCTATGGCTGTGCCACATTCAAAAAGAATTACTGCCAATTTACAGATTAGAAAACTGGCAGTAATTAAGACCAACCATGATCTGGCGTACAGAGACACGCCAGTGTTCAGAGAAGGGCATGTATGTACTGGGAAGTTGTGATGAATGTGACAGCTTTCCACTCATGGTTCACTGGTTGTTAGGATATCAGCCGCCACCCCATTAAGCTGTTGGCTGTGAGATTTCCCCAGCCAGCAGCTGAACGTAAACAAATAGGCCAGGGAGTCTGGTTGACATTATTACATAAATATGGCTACACATCTGACAGTGTCCTCAGCAGCCAGCGACACCGACAGTGATAACAGTGGGAAGACCCTGATGGGGATGGCATAGAGCTTTTCCCCAAAAAGTCCACTTCTCTTGTGATTGACAGCAGGCAGATTCTATAGCCAATAGTAGGCTGCCTATGGAATTAGCTATGGAATCTGCTTACTGCCTGTTATCAATCACAAGGGAGGTGGACCTGATGAGGAACTAGTCTCTCAAATGCTGCACCTGCCTGTGAGACCAGTGCAATGGCCAGGCGGAGAGCTCAGTAATGCTGAGCCTTTAATTTTATCAGACTCAGCATTACTGAGCTGCACTGATTATAGAGTTTCCAGTATGGAAACTCCAGCCCCAGTGCGCCTCCAAATGGCAAATGGAGGTGCTTGCACCATAAACATGTACCAGTTTCCAACAGGTACATGAATCAGCGGCAAGCACCAACATTTGTCACGCAGATACATGACAAAGTTAGGGTTTACAGTACACTTTATAAATAATAAAAAGTATTTTTACATGCAGCCAGCCCATGTACCAGAGTGTCTTCAAACCTGATTCCTGGCAACATCTGCATAACAGCACTCACAGCTGCAGAGAAACAAGCGCCCTAAGATGTTGCATGCATGTGTGCCAACAGGAAACATGCTGACAGGATGAGAAAGTAGAGTTGATGACTTCATTATGTAGCTGATCCTTCATTACCTAGTCAGCAAGTGAAGAAATGACACCACTGTAATTAACTCTTAAAAAGAGTGGTGTGGGCTTCCTGGGTGCGCTGGAAAGACTTGCAACTCAGTTAGGAGTCAAGACAATTAACGTGTATATTTCATCTATGTATGTAGCGATTTGCCAGGGTTTCAGTTTTGAGCTGGTTATAAATAGGCAGATGTCTATCCATGAATAATGAGAAGGGAGATATTTGGCCATGCTCTAATGCTGCAAAATGTACTGTACCTTGTACAACTTGCCTAATAAACTGAAGCAACACACACACACGATAAATACATCCTTCCCTCTTCTCCAACTGTCAGGTTGCAACAAGTTGGAAAATCTGAACAATGAGTGCTGATCACCCCACATTGTAGCCTTAACAATCAGATCCTTGCTTAAGTGTGTTAGGTCACTTGTGGCTATCCTCAGCTGGGTTTAAATCTCACCATCTGTACAGACAAGTTCTGTGATTTGAACAATATCCTGCTTTTTGCTGCACTACGGCACCATAACTAACTCAGACATCAGGGCTTAAGAGGCCACTAAGGGTCCAGGCTCATTTTACAAGCTTTTTCTTCATAAAAACAGTCAAGCAGTGCAAAGCTTTTTATGCCAAAAGCTCTTCTGTAACCTCCCATACAATGCCTTTTTTTTGGCAGTAGGAAAATAAAAATGTGTTACAATCTTGCCTATGACATGGCACTCTTTCAAAAGTAGAAGACACAAATAAAAAAGCATTAAGAAAAACATCAGTTTAATGTCAACTCTGATCATTAAACACTAAGCCGTTTCAAACTTCTGGCCTAAAATGGACAGAAATCTCTTACAAACATTTGCAATTTAAAAAGGTGTATGTGCTGAAACAAATGTATAAGAAAACTTATGACTTTAGTAAAAACCCCATGGCACGCAATCAGTAGATCAAGAGACCTCAAAGAACTCCGGTCATAAGAAAAAACCTTTGCAGTGGGGCTGCAAGGGTTATGCGTTTGTTTCGTCTAGGGAGCTAAGATAACAAAGATATACTCGCCCGAATCTTGGACCCGGCTGGCTCCCAGACCGGTCTCTGCAGCCTCACTCCCCCAGTCTAAGCTTCCTGGAGTCATCACGACCGATACAGGAAGTGAGGCTACAGGAAGTGAGGCTGCAGGGACTGGTCTAGTGAGATTCAGGTGAGTATATCTTTATTTTTACCTCCCTAGATAAACGAGCAGTTAACCCTTGCAGTGCAGGAGCAGCCTCACTGCAAATGTTAGGATTTCATATGCCTGGGGTTCTTCTTTAACAATGCAAACTTTTTTCTTTTTTTGGCCTTTTTTCTGTGGCATTAGTGGATGTAAGTGGGTATAGATAATTCCATAAGAACATAGAACTGGTATTATGACTGAAGGAAAGAAAGATTTCCACTTTTCTGGTACACCAAAATGTATGTTAAGATTTAATCTCATTTTTCATATTTTATATGCTCTCCGTGTGCTTGCTCCCACACTCCAAAAGACATGCCGGTAGGTTAATTGGCTACTAGCGTGTCTAAAAACCACAATTGTAGCTTCCTAAGGCATACCCTGGTAACACTATCAAGTGGCTAATGCAGCTCTAATACACATTTCAGACAGAGCCACAGAAAGAAAATAGGGCAGAAGTGCATCAATGATTGCAATGTGGTCATGTTAGTAGGGAAGGACTCTAAAGGCTAGTTCACACCAGCCCCATCGCATCCCGGCCGGCTTCCTGCATTCAGGAGCGGGAGGGGGCATGGTGGTGCAATGAAGTCAATGGCCATAGTTCTCTTTTAAATTTTCTTTTCAATCAAATTCTGTTGCTTAATATCGCAATAAGAGTGAAATTTAGGCAATTTTTTTGTAGTGTAAGGTGCCTGTAAATACGTGTTCATAAGGGGGGGGTTTGAAGGGGAGGTTCCGCATGCAGCTAAAATGTATGAATAGCAGGGGGGCGGGCAGAGGATGGTGAAATGCTCTGGGTAAGTTGGGCAAGTTGATTTTCTTACATTTTGTGAGAAAGTGGAAGTACCATTTATTGTTCCCCAGCACAATGTGCTATGCTGGGGAAATGGTAATAAATGCGCCTACTTTGACAGACATCAGCTAACACTTTCACAGCTGGTAGCCCTAAGCTCTCCACTGATGATTACGTTGTTATCTATTACAACTATTACAAGGTGATCAAATGCAGACTGGAAGCAGCAGTGTTCATCTGTTTAATACTATAAATTATTAAAGATCCTTACACTATATAAAAATAATAAAACATACATACATACATTTTTGCCCATTTGTCAGGCTATAATAAACTCAGGTTTTTATAAGAACAGTGTACCAAATAAAAGCCTTACATAGCTTTAAAAACTAAGCTGCTAAATCTGCCCTGGGTATCTAGGCATTAATAACATATGGTCACAAATGGGGGTTAAACCCTTTAACAGGGTAGGAGGTGAATTAGCAAATAGTGAAGAATGCTTACGAAGTGTCACCTAAATAGCAAGCAACATCAATAAGCATGTTTAAAATATCAAATTGGTATTGTAGTGAGATACCCATACTGTATAACAGGTCAACTCTGAAAGACTTTTACAGAACACTGTGTGCTTCAAGAGTATTGGATCTGTTGCCTGAATAGATGGCATGACATGCTGACAATACAATGGATGTAAAGGGATACGAGATAGTTAGAGATGCATGACTTTTCTGCTAGTTTAGTGCAGGGTATTCAATGGCAGAGGATTTACAGAAGATCTGCAAATGAAAAACAAACTACAAAGATGAAATGCATGGGGACTATAGTACCTTTAGTCATTTTGTTTAATAACTCTTGCCACTATAGTGATTCTATTTAAAATCTGCAACTTTGCAATTTTCTTCTATGTGAAGCACACCTGTCATATGAGAAATATGTGTGCTGCCATTGCTGGCCTCCTCCAAAAACAATAGTTGGGTTGTTGTGACTGGCTTCAATAGTTCCAAGTTACTGGCCTGTAACCAAAAGGCAGCAAAAAAATTGA